CACCACTCTTGAGCTACTCTTTTGCCAACTAATAGTGGGATTGACCGTCACATTATAAAGCCCCCACGGCTGAAAGGGCGAGCATGTTTTCGTGTGACGGAGATTCAAACCCGCGACCCTCAGATTGCGAGTCGAACGCCCTAACTACCTGGCTATGCCGGGCCTAATATGGCCGTTAGAGACAGTTTCGTAAGACCTAGGTATAATGTTTCCTCATAAATTGTTGTATCACATAATATCACGTTACGATATGTATTTCCATTGTTGTATTGTGTTCCATTCAGATTGTAAGTTTGAAATGATTCAACTCTAGATACCCTACCCTTGATAAAGGCGTAAATCGAAATTTCGGGTGCATTAAAAGTTTTATTTATCTGGAATTTGTGGTCCTATTTATTTTAATAAAAAATATTAGGTAAATATATAAATAACGTTATCCTCTGTATTCTGTGTAAGTTGTTCTCCAACTTTTTTTTATTTATCACGGGATCAAAATGGGATCTATACATCATCTTGTCGCTTCCTTTCTGTAATTTTGCAACCTTTTTTAAATAGTGTTTTTATTTATTTTTAATACTTCAGGCATTTCCGACCACCATGAATATCCGAAATAAAACACTAATGCCTCATAATATATATTCACCTCCAACAGTATGTATAAGTATTGGAGCCATACTAAATAATGTATAACAATATCTGGAGTGTCTAGGTATACATAATACCGTCTGTGTGATCCTTTATATCATACCTTGAAACTGATTTGACATTGTCAGTCATTTAGCTTAGTTACTGATGTTGCACCAGTGTGTAAAATAGTAATCGACTCATTTTTCGGAAAACATAGCTTAACGATAAAACAAAACACGAACGTAATAACAGGAAGCATTTATTAGACGTTTCGGAATCGTCATAATCCATTATCAGTAACCTAGGGTTACAAAACAAACGAACAATATTTGTAATTACAACATGAATATATACATAAGAAATAAACAAATCGAATATACAAACATAACACGAGAAAATGAGAACTAAGGCACAAATGAAATAGTTGAAATAGGTTTAACTCAAGTGAA